TTACTTTTGGTTTTAATTAAATTGTCAAATTATATTTTTTTAATCATAATAATTAAACATCCGTACATTAAATGTAAATGTCACCCGTGTTGAATTTTTTTACTTATATCATATAAAAATATCGATATTATTTACTATTACATAAGTATAAAAATATATATCTTAACTAAATAGAAATAATATGGTGATATGTATATGCATAAGTGTAGAATATGTTTATTTAATATTAAGCAAAATAGATTAATTTTTTTACTTAATTAGATGCCTAATACATCAAGTGTCGTATCAATCGTGTTTCACAGTTTTTTTAACTTTATATGTAATTTTAGAATTTATATAAATAATTATTTATTTTTATTACATCGACAACATACCAATTAGATTTAAAATAAATATTATTTTTAAAAGAATACATACCAATTTTTATTACTTTATAATATATTTATAGTTTTATTTGATATAATTAATTTAGTTTGATAAATAAATTCAAATTTTATTTATAAGGATATATATTACTATTTTGTATATTTTTTATATATATAAATAAATAGTAAACTATAAACGGACTTTATAATATCAATTCAAATGCAACACACTAATTAAGATTTTTTTTTTACAATATTAACCCTATTTAATGGATGTTATGGGATGTGATATGAAGAGGCACTGTGTATTAGATGGAGGGTTAAAAATGAAAAAATATGAACAAAATATCTAAAACAACATTTATTTTATCAATGATCAATTAAGCCAAAGTGACAAATAATAAAAATAGGATGAAGTATATATTATTATATATTTTAGTATGGTATATATCATATATTATTATCTATGATATATTATATGTGTTATAATCTTGTGGGACTTATATGTGTTATATTATAATAAATTTTCTACCTTATAACCTTTAACTACATTAAACATAAATATATTAATTGATAAAATTTAATTTAGTTTGATAAATAAATTTAAATTTTATTTATAAGGATATATATTACTGTTTTGTATTTTTTTAATATATATATAAATAAATAGTAAAATACAAACAGACTTCATAATATCAATTCAAATGCAACACATTAATTAAGATTTTTTTTCTTGACAATATTAACCCTATTTAATGGATGTTATGGGATGGGATATGAAGAAACACTGTGTATTAGATGGAGGGTTAAAAATGAAAAAATATGAACAAAATATCTAAAACGACATTTATTTTATCAATGACCAATTAAGCCACAGTGACAAATAATAAAAATAGGAGGGAGTATATATTATTATATATTTTAGTATGACACATGTTACTTGTAGGACTTATATGTGTTATATTATAATAAATTTTCTACCTTATAACACATAACTACATTAAACATAAATATATTAATTGATAAATAATTTTATTTTCTAATTAATTTTAATAAATAATTTATTATTATTATAAAGATAAATATAATTTATTTATTTTATACATACAATATGGATGTCAAATCGAAGCTCATCAAAAGTTAACTTTGTTTTTTTTTTCTCCAACGACATTCAAATTCTCATAACAAAACCAAATGTAATGTACATAATCGAAACCCTCAGTCGGGATTAATGAGAGGTTACAAACATCAAATGCAACCTAGTCGAAATCCGTCTACTGCCAATACTAATACAACTTGGGCAAATACACACATTGAAATTCCTTGCCACAAACTGAACATCAATAAGGCACAGACATACAAACCAAAGCTGCACAATCAACACACAGATACAAGAGAACATATACCACTGACACGAGACCTAGTATACTCCCCAATATATCTCTATGCCTCTCGAAAAGCACTCCATTCTTGCATTGCCATATTTAATATCCAGTCTGCAGTTTGCCATTTTTTCTCGAATACCCAAAGGTTTCTTGCCCTCCATAACCACCAAAGAATGTAAGTTGAAAGCTGAATCCTATCCTCTGATATCTCTTGAAGTTCATTGAACTCAGCCACCACCACCATTCTTTAAAAGTGATCTCCCCCTCCTGCATTCTATTCCAATCCACTGGTGCAATTTCCCAAGTCTTCTTTGCTGTAGAGCAAGTGAATAGTACATGTTCCACTGTTTCCTCCTCTTCCCCACATGTATTGCAAAGTTTATCCACCTTCAGTCCTCTTTTGAGCAGAATACAATTGACTGGTAATATATTAGAAAAACATCTCCAAATAAAATGTCAAACCTTACCAGTCACCTTTAAGTTTCAGCACCTCATCCTTGCTCTGTTATTCCCTTCTGCCATCTTACTTGACTCAGCAGGAGATACTCTACAAAATTTCTCAGAGGTCAACCTGGCATAGGCTTTTTTGACAGAAAACAGGCCCTTATCCACAAAGGTGCACCTTCTCATATCTTCAGATTTGGGACTTAAAGTTTTGATGCCCATAATTTTCTCAGCCACTTCAGAATGAAACAAAATTCTGACCAGTACTTCATCCCAATCACAGCCATTAGCCAATAGCAGATCTTTAACTTTGAACTGATCCCCATCAATCTGAACTTTTAGCTCAGGTTTCACCCCTTTGAGTTCTGGAATCCAGCTGAAGTCATTTAGCCTGGTTGAAGCCCCATTTTTTTATCTCTATACTCACATGAGGTTTTAAGTAAGGGAGAAATGAGGACCAGGAGCTCCACAGCCAAGATACCCTGCCTTCTTTTCATATTCAAAAACTGAACAGTTTGGAAAGTACCTGCTCTTCAACACTTTGTTGATCAACAGTTGAGGGTGCTCAATGATTCTCTAAAGCTGTTTTAGGATTAAAGCACAATTGAACAACTTTATGTCCTGAAAACCAATCCCACCATTTTGTTTGGACCAAATCATTTTCTCCCAGGCCACCCAATATATTCCTTTGCTGTTCCCTTCCCCTTTCTTCCACCAAAATTCAGCTATTAATCTATAGACCTCATTGCAAATGCCAATTGGAAGGACAAAACATGACATGACAAACACCGGGAGAGCATTTAGCACTGCCTTCACCAGCACCTCTTTCCCAGCAGTGCTTAAAAACTGATTTTTCCAGCTGCAAATCCTTGTTCTCACAGCCTCAACCATAAACTGAAAGACCTCCTGTTTAGATGCACTAATACCCAATGGAAAACCGAGATATTTAGAAGATCTCTTAACAGTCACACCATTGAAAATTGAGCATATTCTCTGTTGAGTGTCTGGAGGGCAATTTTTACTGAGGAACATAGAAGATTTATGAAGATTAACCTTCTGTCCCGCAGACTCTTGGTACTGTTTGAGCATGTGCATCAATAAAAGGGCATGATGTTCATCAGTTTTGCAGAAGACTAGAGCATCATCTGCAAACAGAAGATGAGAAATCATAGGGCCATCCTTGGACAGTTTAATACCATTAAAGAGACCCCTTTGTACATTATGTGCCAATACAGCATAAAAAAGCTCAGAAACCAACGGAAATAGGTAGGGTAATAGGGGATCACCCTGCCTTATTCCTCTGGTTGGATTGATAAAACCACACACACTTCCATTCAGGTTGAAAGAGAAAGATGATGTTGAAACACAGGCCATAATCCACCTTATAAACTTGCCATGGAAACCCATCTTTTCCATAGTTTTTCTGATACACTCCCACTCAACCCGGTCATACGCTTTTTCCATATCCAGTTTAATTGCCATGAACACATTTTTGCCTGTCCTGTGTCTATGAAGAAAATGGAACACTTGATGAGCCAACACTACATTATCCATGAGTTGTCTTCCTGAGATAAAAGTTGTCTGAGCTTCACTTATGCAATCACTGAGACATGCTTTTAGCCTCTCTGCAAGGACCTTTGCAACTATTTTGTATAGAATTCCACAGAGACTAATAGGCCTGTAATTGCTCAGATGCTCAGGGAAAAGACATTTTGGTATTAGGGTGATCACAGGGTGATTCCAATTTTTAAGCATTTTCCCAGATGAGAAAAAACAGGAAATAGCCTTACAGATATCAGATTTCAGAATTTGCCAGAAATGTTGGAAAAAAGCTATTGTCATACCATCTTCACCCGGTGACTTGTCAGAGTCCATACTAAACAGGGCAGACTTTATTTCTTCCTCACAGACCTGCTTGATCAACTCATTGTTGTTGGCGACTGAAACAGAACAAGGAATATGCTGCAATAAATCCTCCCCCCCAAAGAGCCTTCTAGCTGAAACATTGAAGAATAGAAATTCACAATATGTGCTTCCACATCCTCTTTCTTTTCACACACATCTCCAGTCTCTGTGACAAGTCTGTGAATGGCATTGCTCTTTCTTCTTTGTGCTGTGTATGCATGGAAAAAATGGGTATTTCTGTCCCCTGCCTTCATCCACAAAGCTCTGGATTTTAATCTCCAAAATTGCTCTTCCTCTTTATGTGCATTGTCCAATTCAAACTTTATAGCTCCCCATTCTGTCCAATTTGTGTCTCCTCCCTCAGCTTTCATCACTTCCAATTTAGCAGTCAGTTCATGGATAAGTTTTTCATTGTTCCTCTTGATAGGTTTAACCCAGGATAGTAAAGCCATTCTTGTATTCTTGATCCTCTGATTCACCTGAAACATCTCCGAGCCTTCAATGACACCTTGCCAACCTTTCTCCACAGCCTCAGTCACCCCCTCCAAATTCAGCCATTTACTATCAAAAATAAATCTTTTCCTTTTCATCCCCATCTCCATCTCAGTGTTCACAAGCAGCACATTATGATCTGAAGCACATCTATAGAAATTGGATACTTCCATATTAGGGTATTTCAGTACCCAATCCATAGATATGAACACTTTGTCCAGCCTTTCTTCCACATAACCATCTCTCATTCTGTTGTTTCCCCATGTAAAGAAAGCCCTTTTTTGCTCTATTTCTTGCATCTCCATATTCACAATGAAATCTCTGAACTCTAAGAAACTGTGCTTTGTTCTGAGAATGCCCCCCCTCTTCTCCTCATTACTAACAATGTCATTCCAGTCCCCGCAATTAGCTAACACCTCCCCCAGTTCATCTTACAGTTCATAAGAAATTCCCTTTGTTGTGTCCTCTGGTTTCTGTCAGTATTCAGGTACACAAATATCAACCAGCACCACTCACTGATCCCAGGACCCCGAGCTTCCACTTGCAAGCAGAATTCATTCCCAATAATATTTCTGATTTCCATTGACTGGTCCCACATAAGGAGTAAATCCCCTCTTATACCTATGGGTTCTTCCAGATGCCATCTATTCTGAAAACCTAATTTAACACAAACTGTTCTGGTGAAATCTTTGGATTTTTTGGTTTCTGATAGGAATATAAGGTTTGGGTGGTGGATTCTTCTGGAATCCTTGATTTGGGAAACTGTAGAGGACCCACCCAACCCTCTACAATTCCACACCATAGCCTTCATTTGTCACATTGGGGCCAATTGAGGCTGGCCTTCTCCACCTTCTTTGAAGACAACTTAACTTTCTTTCTCTGCTGCTCCATCTCTCCACTTTGAAATTCCACAATTTGAAGACTTGTCTCATCCCCTCTCTCTCTCTTATCCCCAATTGCATACATATCACTATCTGAGTAAGGATGATGTCTAATAAGTCTCCCTGCTTTTGCAGCTCTTCTCCATGTTCTCCTTTGAGCACTTAATTGGACTTCAAGAATTTCACTCTCAACTTCAAACATCTGCCCATCTTGAATATCAAGACTGAGTTCTCTTATCTCCATGATTTCCCTAACCTGTTTCCCATCCCTGCCTTCATATCCCTCGGCATTTTGAGGTATCATTATCTCCATGGCCTTACCCTCAATATCTTCATTGACCTCCTTGGAAACTGACTCCCCACCTTCTTTATTATCACCCTTTTCAGAGAAAACTGGTTGTCTAGATGTGCTTGCAGCCGCATTTGTCTCCATATTTGATTGCCTTAGTGGAGTTGTGTCCTTTTGTTCAGAGCCACTGGAGAAAGATGTCTACCCCAAAAATTTTGTCTCACCTGCTTTAAGCCACTCCCCGTGTTGGCCCTCATGAAGGTTTTTGTTTTCGATGTCAATCAACCGAGTTTCACAGTTCTTGTCTAAATGGCCGATGCACCCATAGTAATAACACAAATTTACCAATCTCTCATATCGAAAAGAGACCATAAGTTGCTGGTCTTCAAGTTTTACCACCGTGCATCTGGGTAGTGGCTCATTAATATTAATCGAGGCTAGCAGCTTAATGTAGCTACCTAACTCTCCTCCCATTTTGCAGACGTTCACATTTTTAACCCCATCAAACACTTGCCCAATCTTAAGCCCTACTTCACTGCTCATCCAGTTGAAAGGTACATTCATGACATGAACCCACGAATTAATGTTATTAAAACACCTATGCTTACTATTAAGACCCGAGCACCATTCCTTCAGTACTAAATATTGGTTCTCAAACACCCAGTTATGCCCTGCTGCAACCTTCTTCTTGTCTTCCCCAGAGCCAAAAATAAATTGGAAAAAATTAGATTCTAATTCCCGTACCTCTAATCTGTGATGGATCCTCCATATTGCACTCATAGTTCGTTTAATCCCCAACAATGTCTCCCTCCTATCCCCAATTACTTTCCCAAACAAACTCCGCTCACACTCCTCCTCACTCGTAGCAATATCCCCCCGTTTAATCTCCACTCCACCCGCTTCCTTCCTAGATAGCGAATATTTTTGTAATTGTTCCGCGACCTCATCTCCAATCTCTACCTGCTTTGCCATAAGAGAACCCTAGCAGTCGTCCCCTCGCAACGATCTCGCTCAATGATACAACGACCTCCCCAATTTCGAAAAGATCTTCTTCACCAAAGGAATTTTATGCCTCCCAACGAGAGAATCGCTCTACTCCCATCAGAGAGAATCAGCGGATCGAATCTTCCATCAAAAGTTAACTTGATATATTATATATGTAAAATCGATAAGAAATACAAAAGTTATCAAATTTTGAAATATATTTACGATACAATGGTTATAATATTAAATGATATTAAAATACAATTAATACAAATATTAATTTATATCCAAGCCTAATTTCAAAGCATGGTTTTTTGCCAAATAGGATTCCGAAGCACGAGAGTTTGCCACGTAGGCTCACCTCATTCTGAAATTATATATAGAGGAGATGAGTTTTCATATATATTATTTATCTTATTGCCATAACTTAGTGATTAATTTTTGAGAAAAAAAATTAAAAAAAAAAATTTTGAAGAATAAGTCCAACTAACAATACCCGTGTAAATACACGGGTGTTGAATTAGGAAGCATATGTTAAAATATATTAATTTATTCAAACTAAAAAAAATTAAATTTTATAAAAAAAATTACTTTGGGTTTTAATTAGATTGTCAAATCATATTTTTTTATCATAATAATTAAACACTCGTATATTAAACAAAAATGTCAACTCATATTGAATTTTTGTACATAAATCATATAAAATTATCGATATTATTTACTATTATTAAGTAAAAAAATTATATATCTTAAATAAATAGAAATAATATGGTGATATGTATATGCATAAGTGCAGAATATGTTTGCTTAATATTAAACAAAATAGATTAAATTTTTACATAATTAGATGCCTAATACATCAAATGTCGTATCCGTCGTGCTTCACTGTTTTCTAACTTTATATGTAATATATGTAATTTTAGAATTTAGATAAATAATTATTTATTTTTATGCGATTGATATTTTGTACTTATATCATATAAAATTATTGATATTATTTATTATTACGTAAGTACAAAAATATATATCTAAAATAGATAGAAATAATATGGTGATATGTATATGTATAAGTGTAGAATATATTTATTTAATATTAAACAAAAAGTCAATATAACTTATGAAAGATTGAATAAAATAATAATATTATAATAACTCTACTTATAACCATTCAGGTAAAAAGAATAAAAAAAAACGTGGATATAATGAAGTAACCTTGTACATATAAGAATTGTATTCACTCTATAACACTTGAAATCTTAGTGTCCAATAGTGTCCAATTACGTATAATTAATTATGGTATTCAACGTAGAACCTATTTATTTGAAATTCAAGTCTAACTCTAAAGCATAAGTTTTTTGCCAAATAAGATTCTGAAGCGTGAGAGTTTGTCACGTAGACTCAACCTGAAATTATATATAGAGAATTATATATAGAGGGGATTTGAAATTTAAGTTTAACTCCAAAGCATAGTTTTTTGCCAAATAGGATTCTGAAGCGTGAGAGTTTGTCACGTAGACTCAACCTATTCTGAAATTATATATAGAGAGGATTATAATTATAATATAATATTAAACAAAAAATCCTATTTAATTTTTATTTTGGTAAAGAGCCTATTCTGAAATTATATATAGAGGGGATTATAATTATAATATAATATTAAGCAAAAAATCCTATTTAATTTTTATTTTGGTAAAAATCCTATATACACGACATATAAGAATCCTATTTATTTTGGAGTTGGAAGGGATCGGATTAAGCAAAGGTCCTATCTTAATTGATCCCCTCCTTATTTTATTCTACAATTATTTAGCATAAACTATTTTAAGTTTCTTTTTCCTACATTACCATATATTAAATTTTATTTTCTTCTTTAATTTATACATCAATTATTATAAATGTTTATTCTTATCTTTAGTATTTTTTTAAATTTAAACTATATAAAAAAGTTATTGTTTACATTAATTATATAAATAAAATAATATATAAAGCCAAATTTTTTATTTTTGTATTCGTGAAATAAGTCTAAATTTTTTATTATAATATTAAGCAAAAAATCCTATTTATTTTTTATTTTGGTAAAAATCCTATTTACACGGTATATAAGAATCCTATTTATTTTGAGTTGGAGGGATCAGATTAAACAAAAATCCTATTTATTAAGTGTTTTATTTTAAACAATTAAGGAATATATCCGAACTAAAAACCGAAGCATGTAATGTTGCCAAGTAAGCTTCCGAAGCGTGCGACGCAGCCATGTAGACTCAGCACGTTTTGAAATTATTTTTATTATAATATAATATTAAGCAAAAAATACTATTTACTTTTTATATTGGTAAAAATCCTATTTACACGACATATAAGAATTCTACTTATTTTGGAGTCGGAGGGGAAGTAAAAATCCTATTTATTAAGTATTTTATTTTAAACAATTAGGGAATGTATCTGAACAAAAAATCGAAGCATGTAATGTTGTCAAGTAAGCTTCCGTGCGAGACAACCATTAGGCTCCGCACGTTTTGAAATTATATTAAGAGGGGATGTTATTATATATGCAATATTTTATATTTTGGTTGGTGCATGGGGTAATTTACTAAAATCTATTAATATATAAAGAGGCAATAATATATACTTCAAATAGTAACTAAAAATCAATAAAAAAAAACATTTAGTGTCCCACCTAAAATTTCAAATTTACTAAATTGGGTAATTTTTTTTGCCAAAATTTGAAAACTCTCGCCTAAATTAATGTAATTAATGTACAGAATCATTTTGGTTAAATATTGCGGTTATTACCTTTATTAGTTGCATGATTTAAATTTGGCTATTACCTTTACTAAATTGGTGAAAGATGCAAGCTTTGAAAGAAAGACCGAAACTTTTGTTGCACGGAGTCTCCATAACTCAAGAAAACGAAATAAACAAAGAGAAAATATGCGAGCAAAGTAACCCTAGGTAATCTAACACGAGCTTTCTTCAATATATCATCACACTTTGAGCAAAGTCGAGACCTTTATACAAGATAAGCACGTATTGAATTCCTAACATGTAAGCAATCAATGAAAAATGAATCAAAGTCCTAAAATCGAGCATGGACACAAAATTCTGACCAAAACACCAACTTAGTAAGAAGGCAAACAAACTCGAAGTAATAAGCTCTAATCAAGGTGCTTACTCTCCTATCGCAAGCTCGGACAAAATAGTGCGTAAAACTCGAATCTTGGATAAAAATAAAGTCGCCGGAATTTCGCCGGAAAAATTGAGTCATGTACCTCCCAACAGAAACCTAGAGAGAAAAATAAAAAGAGAGAGAGAATCTCCCAACTAAAAAGTTGGAAAATGATTGGTGATATCCAAAAATACAAAGCAACATGTCTATATATTGTTACACCACAAACACACACTAAAAACACGCATATTTAGTAAAAAACACTTGCAACGTGGCTAAAACATCTGCGGGGTCGCGAGTTCGGAGGGCCTGGTACTCGCGCGGTCGTGGGCTGGTCCGCTGGCATGCAGGCGTCCTGGCGTGCTAGAAAAGAAAAAAAAAACAATTACATTCAAATTGTACCTTAACTAAAATTAAAAAGCTTAAAAGGAAATAATTAGGTTACTACTATACTAGTGTGTACCCCGTGCGATGCACGGGAACAGTATTAAATTAACAATATTATAAATAGACCTCGAGTTTGAGTCAATGGCGGAAGTGAAAACTACTATTGATCGTATTTAAAAAGAGGAAGAAAAAAAAATAATTATAAATAAAAGAGGAGGATAAACAATACTTAATAATTATAAATTAAAGATTCGGGGTCAAACAATGTAAAATGATTTTGTATAAGAGAATATAAAAAAATTTGATTACACACCATTTCAAAATTATCATTATACTTTTTTGTATGGTTAGCTTAGAATATTTGTAAAAATATTAGTAATTAGACCGATGAAAATTAGCTTCTTAAAGTAGATAATGGATTTCTAGTAGTAATTATGAATTGGTTTCTATTTTATTTTATTTTTTCTTTTTAAAGATAATGATATTCTAGTAGTAATTATAAATTGATTTCTATTTTATTTTATTTTTTCAAATCTGTATAGATAAGATATGAGATTTTTTAAACACCTAAGATTGCAATGGGATTTTGTAACAGAAGAGATAAGCT